ACGGCAAATCGTTTTGAACCGTTTACACGAAAACGGAAAACGGGTTATCAGGCTGGAGTTAGCACATGCTGGCTTTGCGCAAGGGCGGGAAGTAACACGCTAGTTGGAGTTGGTACGTGCTGGTGGTCGCAAAGGTCAGGTATTTCCCGCGAAATATAGTCCCGCGCGGAATGATTTCCATGACCGCGCTCCGTTTCCAATCGTTTTCACTGTTTTCACCGTTTACACGAGAACGAAAACGTTTTGAAAACGATTAAAAACACTTTGAAGTGCGTTTCCATTTAGTTCCGTTTAGGTATCGTTTTCGGGCGTTGTCGTGTAAACGATAGTAGTAAGCGCAACGATTTCGTTCGGTTTAGGTCCTACTTCGTTGTCGTGTAAACGCAAATCGTTTTCAATCGTTGTCGTGTAGCCTTAGGCTGCGTTTACACGACAACCATTGAAAACGATTTGCGTTTACACGACAACGAAGTAGGACCTAAACGGAACGAAATCGTTGCGTTTACTACTGCGTTTACTTTCGCGATGTTCAGCCATAAATAAATGTAGAAAGGAAAAGTACTCTTGTCAGTTATGTGCGTAGTTTTTGCACTTTCTGACTGTATATAGTATCCAGTTACAATGATGGAGAGTTACTCTTAACTCGTGTCCTTATTTCCTTTTCCTTTCTACATTATTATTATTATTATTATTATTTGAAACTCGGATGTTGAGCCATAAATAAATGTAGAAGAGAAAAGGACATATGGATACGAGTTAAGAGTAACTCTCCATCACTGTAACATGATACTATATACAGTCAGAAAGTGCAATAACTAGGCACAAAACTGACAGAGTACTGAAACATTCGACGTCCTGACACCTAGCTTCAACACATCTCAATTGCACACCTGATGAGCCGTCACGAACCATACGGCGAAACGTACGTCGTGTGAAACCACTTGTTTTGTAGTCAACTAGTCCATCACAATGTCATGCATGAGGAGTACTGTAGGAGTTTGGCTTTCGGCTTGTACAATTCGTTTTCGCAAAGCTTCCCTTTCTTTACTTATCTTTGATATTTTATGACCCTCCCAAGTTGGGTGGTGTGCTGCTTTGCTGCTTCGAATTGTAGTTAGACCGCTTTGTCAAATATCGTACTGGTCTCGTCATCGTCCAGTAACAATCGACATTCTTTGTTCCGTTGGGACTGTAGCTTTTGCTCGTTTTCGTTGCGCTTGCCTTCCCCTCTTTGGTCTTTCCATAACCTTGAACCTTCCAAGTTGGAAGGCTGTCGGTTAGCGCTACGGAGATGTGTTGAAGCTAGGTGTCAGGACGTCGAATGTTTCAGTACTCTGTCAGTTTTGTGCCTAGTTATTGCACTTTCTGACTGTATATAGTATCATGTTACAGTGATGGAGAGTTACTCTTAACTCGTATCCATATGTCCTTTTCTCTTCTACATTATTATTATTATTATTATTATTATTTATTCTTCTTTTACTAGGGAATTCCCAACAGGCGTCAGCGCCTTTTTCCAGGGAACCCTAGGTATAATTTGATGGATGAGCGAAATTCTGCTGGTGAACTAGACATGCGGCAAGCCGGAGGAAGTGTATTCCACCTGGCAGTGCCCAAATAAGAAATTGCACTAAAGCCATATCGGGTGTTAGCGGGGGGCAGAACAAGAGCAGGAGAGACTTGGCCACGGGTGGTGGCTGCAGTGCGAGCACCATGGGCGCGCAAGGTAAAGCGGTCTCGCAGAAGAGGACTAGCAAGTCCATTCAGGCAGCGGTAAACAAATACATAGGTTTTGAAGTTGAGGCATTTCTCAAGGGCGTACAAGTTAGTATGACTATATAGAAGAGTGGTGGGAGTCATTCTATCCAACGAAAATATTCTCTTTAATGCTACGCGGCTGGCAGTAAGAAGCTTGTCATATAGGTTTTGTGATAAGCAACGAATATATGCAGTGCTGCCAAACTCAAATGTGGACTGAAGGATCGATAAATAGAAAAGTCGTTTGCCAAAATTCTGCTTTGCATGGACAAATGCTCCGACCTTCCTATTGACATTTGCACATACTGCATCCATTTGGGTTGAGAAAGACAGATGTTCGTCAACCAGTATTCATAAGTACCGAGCATTAGCAGATGGGACTATGGAGGTGCCCCGGCAGTTGACTGCGGTGCCAGGTGGCAGCTCCATGCCCGGTTGCTGGAGCAGGACAAACTGAGTCTTGGACGGGTTTAACACCAGTCCCTTCTGATCTAGGTAGCCATCCAGAGCGGCAAGGTCATCACTCAGCTGGGTTGTGATGATCTGGATGGACTTGTGCCTGATATAAAGTGTGATATCATCAGCATAAAGTTGATTCAATGCATGTTGGAAGCACTGTGGTGCATCACGGGTGTCAATGCAAAATAGCAATGGGCCGAGCAGGGAGCCTTGTTGGACGCCTCTTGTGCAAGGGCGAGCCCCACCTAGCTGTTGTCCTACTCTTACTCGCTGGACGCGTCTGGTCAGGTAGCTTGCAAACCAAGCAAGTGCAGTGTCAGCAATGCCAAGCATCTTCAACTCGTCAATGAGCGCTTCATGCTTAACTCGGTCAAAAGCTTTGCTCATATCTGCCACCACTATGCCGCAGTACTCGTTGTTATCAAGGGCTTTGAGCTATTCGTCGACCACTAGCGCTAGGCAGTCCTCACACGAGCTGTTGGTACGGTAGGCAAATTGATTGTCAGGCACGTACATGATGTTGTGTAACTTAACGAATGCAATCAGCTGCTCCAAGACAACTCGTTCTAATATCTTGCTGCATATGGGCAATAATGAGACTGGTCTGTAACTAGTAGAGCTTTCTGCATCGCCTGATTTGAAAACTGGGCTGACTGTGGCATTCTTGAAAATATCTGGTACGCACCCTGTGCTCAGAGATTTATTGATAACATCAGTGAGAGAAACTGCTATGGACTCACGACCATGCTTCAGTACGGCTGGTAAGACGTTGTAAGAGCCAGGTGACTTACTTGTGTTTGTTGCTTTGAGCAGTGTGGTGATGTGCGCCACAGTTACGGGTCGAAAATGGGACAGTCGAGCAGCAGTAGTTGGCTGTTGGGTGGCTGGGCGTAAACATATGTCAGCAGGCCGGCTTGGATCCCGCACTTTGTTAGCAAATGTCTCTGTCAGACTACTGAGAGATGCAATTGGCTGATTTCTTACTTTCCGCCTGCCAGACAGACTGTTAAGAGGAGCCCACTGACCTCTAGGATTTCGTCGGAGTGCCGAGAACTGGTGCATCAGGAAACGGGATTTCAGTCTCCTACTCAGAAGCGTCCCCTCGCGTCTGACAGAACGATACCGTTGCTTAAAAACCATATTCCCAGGCTGCAAAAGGACTCTACTATGCAGAGTAGTTCTGCGCTGCAGCAGTTTCCGTAACTCTGGTGTTGCCCACGGTTGAGGCTTAGGTTTGGGACAGAGGGGTAGTCCAACTTGTTTAGGTGGAGCATGCGTATCAGTAACAGCAGCGAAAGACGCTACAAGATGGCAAGTTTGACTGTCCAATGTTGAAAATGAGGATGAGTTCTCGAGGATGTCATTCAGAGTGCGGATTGACTGTACAGCTAGCGATGTGTGTACAAGCAAGAGTACATAACCCCCCAGAGTGTGCAACGCCCATCCAGCTCTGTGTAGGGTCTTGGTCGAGCGGAATCGGATCTTCTGATGTCATGCGTACACTTCACACCAGCGCAAGGCCGGTCTCGAGGCAGGGCACCATTGTTTTTGATCCAAGAGTACCCGCGACTCCCCGGGTTCCCCTCAGATGTGTACGGTATTATGACGCAAAGATCCGATTCCGCTCGACCAAGACCCTATGCAGAGCTGGATCAGGCGTTGCACACTCTGGGGGGTTATGTACTCTTGGTACAAGGTATGTGTCGTATGGTTTTCAGATAGGACACCACCTCCACAGCACCACCACGAAAAACCGAGTTGGTGGGGCGCTCTCGCCGTACTTTAGAGTAGTACCGTAAAGTACCGCCAGATCAGAGCGCCCCACCATCTCGTCCTTTCGTGGCC